GGCCGGCGGGTTCGGAGGCGCGACGTCGGGAGGAGCCGAGCGTCCGCCCTGCTGCCCGCCTCCCGGAGGGTGCGGGGCCGGCCTCAGGCTTCACGGGCGCTGCTCCCGCATCGCCGACTCCGAACTCGTGTCACGTCGGACGTAGTGCAATGCAGCCCAGCCACATCCCGCATAAAGATTTTCATTGTTCTGAATAAAATATTGGACTTTTTTTTTTTTTGGAAAAAAAATTATTGTCTCTAGTTCTGAGTGTTTATTAATAATTATTTTACCTATTCAGAAACTTTTAGGTGCCCTGGGTTTTTTAAAAGTTATTATCATTGTTTCTAATGTGATTGACATTAGAAACAATGTTTCTAGTTGTGTTCCCATACAGTGTGGGACACATGGATCATGACTTGCAGAGTTTCTCGTTTTAAGACACTTACTGGAGTTCAGTTTTGTGTTGCACCAGCGCTGCCCTGTCCTCCAGCTCTCATCGCATCCGTGGCCTGCTCCACACTGCAGGTGGTTGCCCGGGTTCCGGTCTCCAACCTGCGCTCTCACCTGTTTACCTGCCTCCCCAGTGCCTGATGCTCTCACCACTAAGTGTTTGTTGAATAAATAAACTGCTTACAGTTTTCTGCGTATGAAACAAGTTGTCTAGACGCGTCTAGATGTCCCTTCCGCACATTTCTGAGACTAGCTCACCCTAACCGTGTCCGCTGTAATCTCCCTGCTGCGTTCGGGCCGCCGCCTTCAGCTCCGTCAGTCACTGTCTAGGCCAGTCTGCAGGGTCGGCTATGAAAACACGCATCTCTCAACAGGACCCTAAGCGGTTCTGAGGGGAATGTTGGGCCTGACCAGGCAGTGGACTCTTAGATCCTCCAGCGGACACCTCCTGGGTCCCGGGCCCAGGGCCCATTAAAGATGTCAGCGGAACAGGGCTCCAGACCTCAGGGGCCTGCGAGCTAGGAATGGGGAGAGGACAGGGCTGCAGCAAGTGCTCGGGAATGAAAGGCAGACTGTGGTCACCAAGAAAGGAAGAGCACCAGGTGTGGCGGGGGTGCCCGGGCGTGATCAGCACTCAGGGCCGGG